CAACAGCAGGAGATATATTAATAAGGAGGAAAAAAATGTTATATTGACTAAAGAGGAAGCTAAAGAACAGCCATGACTACCCACATACTTCTGCATGGCAGCTTTCTTCTTTTCTATTGTATAGCCAGAACGCAGAAGCTGAGGCCTGTGGCTAAGTCCCATCTCATAAATTCTCATGTATTTTCTCACGTGATAAGGAAACAAGCAGGATTATTTAAAAACCTCAAGAGATCAAGTTATTTATTTATATTGAAATAGAAGATTTTTGTCTGCAACACTAAGTACTTTTGAATGCTAATACAAAACAATAAGCCAGCAGTTGAGAAAAAACTTTTTTCTGAATAATAAGTTTGCTTTTCTCTGTGTGTGTGTGTGTGTGTTTGTGTGTGTGCATTAAGGAGTGACAGTCAGAAATGCATTGTGCACAAAACTCACCTCACACTTTAGACTCATTTTCTAAAGTCTGTGCTGTTAACCAAAACTTGGGTAATTAGGGAGGGTAACAGTAAGCTACTGAAAAAATCAAGAATTTTGGGTTTTCTGAAATTATTTCATCCTTTTCTTTGTTGAACATTCACATTCGTGAAATCTTGTCAAAAACTTGTTTGCAGGCTAGTAGAAATATCATAAATACAGACATTTGCAGAAGTGTTCACTTTGGTCATGCCCCCTGACCTTTCAAAAACTCTCTGGGTAGGAGAACTGAAAAAGGAAGGATTCTAAAAAGTGCTGAAGATGGAACAGGGATGGAGGAACAGAGAGCCAGCACCAGGCGCACTGGCACTGCCCACCTCTGTCACCCCACCCTACATCAGAGAGCCACAGGGGATGGATGCTCCTGGCAGCCTGGGGGTGCTGTCGGTGCAGGCTGCATGGCTCAGCAGCCCTTTGCTCCAAAGAGGCAGCAGCAGTCAGTGGTGGGGGAAATGCCACTTCAAGCCTCTGACACAAGCCTTTCTAACAACCATCCTTCTAATACATGAGCTTCCTTTCCAGCTTCTTTTCCTTCTTTGCAGTACTTTTTCCAATTCTTTCTGCTTTCTGCCTGACTGAGATTCCATCTTCACCAGGCAGATCACCTTAAGCCTGCTATGTTTAGCTTAGTGCAGCAAGGCAGAAACTTGTCCCAAACAATCAGATCTAGATTATGAGGGGGAAAAAAACCAAGTTTTCCATGAACTGTAGAGAGGAAAATAAGAGTAAAAATGCAAATGTGTTTCCTAGTTTGAAGATCACGGTTTGGATCATGTACTCCTAAAGCTATCCAGATACAGAAGCTATATTTTCCTGCCTTTGCTATGCCTTCCTTCTCTCCCTTCCTAGCAGAGGACTTTATTTTTATTTACACAGAAGTAAGATTCAATTTTCACTGTGAAATACAAAAGAAACTGTCTCAAACTAATACTCTTTTTTTTCACAGAAGAAGCATCAACTATGAGTTTAAAGAATACCAAGAGATGTTATTTCCTCTAAAATATGGTATAATAAAAACAATATTATATAATATAAAAATATGGTATTATAAAATGGAAGTATTTAGAAATATGGTGTACTGAGGTTTTTAATGAGTTTTAATTCAAATTAAACTCAATTAAACACTCCTATAGAAAACAGAAAAAGTTTTGAAACCAGGGGTTTTTTCTCCCTTCCCTCTCTTTACCTTCCCTTTGCTGCCATTTTAGTAAAAAAACAAAATGCCATTTTACTTCTTACATAACTAGTAAAATCCAAGGGTCTTGCAACATAAGATAACTCCAGACTTCAAGGACGTAGTACAGTAATTTTCCATGAAATGTCATGTCTCATCTTTAATATATTTTTTGTTTTTCAAGCACAGGCAGCATATGCATGCGGGGAACTCCCCTAAGGAGCAGAAGAACCAACCTGCATGACATAGGCTGGGACATCCTTGGGCTTGCAGCTTGCCTAAACAAATGAGTTACGGAGTCATCAGGCTGCTGTGAGTCACCCAGAATCTCACACTTAGGCAATTTGGATTGCAGGATCTCTTCTGACACCCACCGGGATGGTGACGAGCCCCAGGTGGTGAATAACTCATGGACGGCCCCGGAAGGCGGGATCACCGCATCGGTGACACTGCCTCACCTGGCCAGGGCACGGGTGCAGATCCACCTTGGGACAATGACTCGCTTCCTGGCCCCGAGCTGGAGTCAGGCTTTGTCACCGGGCTGCCCGAGTCAGGGTTTCTACGTTTCAGGTGAGTTTGTCGGGCAATAAAAATGCTTGAAAGCATTTCAGTTACTCACACTGCTGTTCCTATCAGTGTGAAGGGAAGCAGGTTTGGGTTACACCCTCAAATAAGCCTCAGCAGTCTGCCTGAGGGATGTAGGAGGCTATGTGTTTTGACTTTCAGTAGGAATCACTCATGCAGTTCATTTAAATGAAAGGTTGATTTTTTCCACCTTAACTACAGACTGGGATTTCCATGATAAAACACATTATCATGGAAACGCCTCTATTCTTAGAAAAGTAAAACATAGTGTCATCACGTGTTGTACTAGTAATGATGCACGTGGTCAAGTTTGTCCAACATTTTTGCATCATTACACCCTACTTTTGAGGTACTTGAACCCCAAGTAAAAGCAGGGAGATGCTCCATGATCTTTTGCTCTCCTGTACTTTCTTGGGGTGACCACAGAGGCAGCAGCTACCAGATGAGTGTGAGGGGAAGCAGACAGGGCAAACAACCAGGGAAGCAGGCAGAAGGTGGGGCAAAGGCCAGGGCCTCCAGAGGGACCAGTGGGGATGAGCAAAGTGGAACCAAGCAGGGGGACAGAGAGCTGCCAAGGGACTGCCTCTTTTGCCATTTCCTATTCTTTAAGCCTCTGACTTGAAGATAATTTTATAGACAAAATGCTGCACAAACCATAGGTTTTTTGGTTTTCTCTTTCAGGTTTTCACCCACATAAGGTGAAAAGAATAATAAACCACAGTTAGTATCCCAAAAGGTCTTCTTCTGAAATGGCTGTAAAAAGAATATTGTGAATGGGTCAGATGGGTTCTCAGCCACACATTGGCATCCCCACTCTTCTGATATTTCAGTTGTGTCTGTGCAGATCACCAGTCTTCAGTACACTTCCTCAGACAAAGTTTTGAAATTTGCTAAATAATTTGTTTTGGTACACAGAAAGAAACAGAAACTCACTCAGATGGAGCACCATGATTTGCTGAAGAGCTGGCAGTGACCATATGCACTAAAAGGCTATTTCTGTCACACAGATTAGCAAATATATCCCTGAATTCAGGCAGAATATATCCTAGTCTTCTGCAGAGGGTCAGCACAAGAACCATATGTCATTTAAATGCCATTTAAATGCTATTTTAAAGGCACTAGTAGAACTCCTCTGCTCCTTCACTCTTTCCATGGGGATTAATTTGGTAAATGTCATTTTTATACCGTTTTCAAAGGCAAATTGTACTTTACATTAAGGAAGTGGCACCATCTTGTGGCTGAAAATGAAAGTGTATTTTCTTTAGCAACGAAGTTGTTTTTCACTTTTCTTTCATTCCCCCCCCTCCTTTTTCTTAAGGTTCTCATAATTCTACAGAGCAGCCCTTTGAGTCTAAAACCTAATCATCGTTTCAGAAGACTTTTGCACAAGGCTGAGATTTATTATGCAAAAAATGCACAATATTATGAATGCCTACCCTGCCACAGAGATTTCTGACACATTGCCTAATGCCATAGAAAGATTTTTGAAAAATTCTTTTGAGGCCAGCTTCATAGGAAAAATGGGTTACTAAAACATTCATCAAGAAAAGAATGCCTACATTTGCAGTGGTAATGTCTTACTACAAGAAGTGAGTCAAAATTCTTCAAATCCACATGCAGAAGATTTGTTTAAATATTTAAGCCTATAATTGAAGCCTCAGTGAAATTATCCAATCTAGATTTAAGCATCATGTGTGGCTTTGCCTTTACTCATGACTTTGCAGGACCATTAGCAAAGTTCCTGCAAGTTTAAAGCTAATAATATAGCTACGTAGCAATTTATTTAAAAACTGATACCCTGCCTTCACTCTTAGAACTTACAAGTTGCATACTTTTATTTCAATAACTAAATTTCTTCATTTAAAGGACTAGTCAGAATTGTTAGCACTCTACTGTAAAGACAGAAAAAAGAGGATATAGTGGAAGCTGAGTATTAGCAGATTGCTTAATATGCAAACAGCTGTACAGCTAAGAGTAAATGTGCAGAGCTCAAGCTTGTTTAAAGGCCTGCTCATAACTACTGGCAGTCACCTCGGCGAGACTCATCTCTTTTTAGATATCACCAGTGCAAATGTCTACACCTGAACTGGTCACAAAGGCTTGTTTTGAAGTCTTTAGGGAGTAAGAGCTGCTTTTAAGATGCAGTTCATCTCATCCTGTACCAGATAGGAGAAGTTGATCAGCTGACTCGTTTCTCTTCTTTGGTTATAAAAGGAAAATGATGTGATTAGCATAGGTGCCGATAACTCCTGCAGTGATCTGCACATAGTCAAACAAATCCTACCCCTTGTGCCTCATAGAAATAACATTATCAAGATTTTTTTTGAGCCCTGTGGATATTTAATTCTGAACTCCAAACGACTTTAAAAAGAGAATCTTAAATACATATTTCAAGAGCAACCTCTAAAAATAAAAACAAATCAAGAGCTATTTAATAGGCTAATACGGATTGCACATGCTGTGTCAGGAGGTTGGCATTATCCTTTGTGGTGAACCTACAAGGGGAACTATATATTATAGCAGCAGTTGCTTTACATTTAGAGGCACTTTCTGTTCATTTTGCCATTGCTAAGTATATGTAGAAAGTGGCATTAACAAAGATTAACATGTGAAGTAACAATAAATGTTCTTTTTAATCACTGAAATAGAATGGCACCACTTAAAAATGAGGAAGGAAAGGAATATAAAGAGATATACATATAGATATACAGATATACATATATATATGTATAAAGTTGTAAAGGCAAATCATAAGAAAATGCTTCCATAAAAACTTATTTAGCAAGACCATAATTACCTAAAACGTAGGCAGCACAGATTAAAAGTGTTTATTGCAAACCAGCTCAATTATTCAACGGATGAGAAAAGATACCAGAACCGCACAATAAACACAACTGGGGAAGCTAAACTGTGCAGTTACATGTCCAGTGTTTAAGAAAATGACAATTCCTAGCCCAGCATAAAGCCCTCTAAGAATTAAGGAGTTTGCCTAGGCTCCCTGACTTGTTTGTATGGAAGCAATTGCACAGACCAAAAGCATCATGGAAATATTGCCTTAGGCAAGGCAAGGATCTGGTTGACCCTTTGGCCAATTATTGAACTGAAATTCTTTTGATGTTAGAAGCAGTGTGACTCAGCTAAATGCCAGCCACTCCACCCACCTTTTATCTCCTGCTGTGTTCCTTCAGTAGAAAATGCCACCAACATTAGAAACTGTTCCTGCACTATCCTGGGCCTGACGGCAAGGATGATGCCTTTTCCCAAATCTCTGCTCCTGCCATTGGCATCCCATCCTCACAGAATTAAAACAGGGGCATAAGTTCAGTGAAAAATTCTGTGAACATTAAACTTTGCCTCATCAATTTGAACAGAATTTTGAGAGAGCCTGAGAGAAGCCAGAGCCAGGTTTGTAATTGCAGAAAGCATTGCCACCATCAGTTGGTATACTGATTACCATGCTGTCATGTTCTCTGCACTTCCTTGATGTGCCTGTATTAGAATGAACACTTACTATAGTTTCTCTTTTTCAGTATTTTTGGTGGGGCAAGTGAGAGATCACTAGAAACACTGGAAACAAACATAACATTATGAAATGGAAGCTATCAGAAAATTTATCCAGATTTATTTTTATCAATACTTATCAATCAAGAAAGATTTTGTTAACATTTTGAAAAAAAATATGGCGCAAAGCAGAATAATTGGAAATTTCTTCATTTAGTAATCATACATTTAACAAATCTTAATATTGATGATCCAGTCTCTGTACCTTTACTCTCTGTAACTAAACTCAAGAGAGGCATAAGTCTACTTGCTAAGAAACCAAAAAGAGATTTCATAGAATAATTTAGAATTTAAGTCAGCAGTGGCTGAAAAGAGAATACAAAAGAGTTGCATACTGAGCTATGGCTGTTTCCAGGTCTGGAAAAATTCCCACACTTTTTCTTAGTAAAAATATCATCTACCTCACTTCAGGTAAGACTACCCACTGGAGAACCAGTCATGTTTGCAGAGCCTTTGAAATCTCATACATCTGTTGAACTCATCAAGCATCCACTACAGATCTCTTTGATTCATTGTAAATGTTTACCATAGGAAGAGATTTATATTTATAGGGCAACTGCTTACAAAACTGGCAAACACATCAGGACTTTGAGAGTGGGAGGTTTTCCACATGACTTTGGATTCAAATTATCTTGCATGACCAGCAGTGATTTCAAAAATCCATGTGAAGGAGCAGAGCTATTCAAAGCTTTCCAATAAAATGTATCTTGGAAATCCTGCCTGTCCTGAGGCCCTGGGCTATAAAACCTCATCCAGACAGGAAAGTTACATTGAAAGTCCAGTTACAGCCTCTGCTGCTGCAGAAGTTTCAGTATAAAATGCATTGGAAAGGCCAAAGATAAGTGATATTCTCCAAGCTAGTTGAAATTAAATGGTTCTTCTCTCATCAGAGTTTACCAAAGTGGACAGGATGCATCCTTGTTGGAATAGAAGTGCAGGACACAAAAAACCAGTGATTATATACGTACAAATAATACGTACATATACACATAAAATACATACATACACGTGTATGAATGCTCCCATCTCTGCAATACAAGGCAATTTTAATGAAACCAACTGTAAATAGCTGTGCTGCTCTCTGGATTGTGGGCTGGCATGAGCCAGGGAGTGATACAGACCTGTAAAGTGCCTGTTTTGCTGGAGGGAGAGAGGTTATGGCTGGTGGGAAACTACTGCTAATCTTAGAGAGTATATTATGGCTGATTAATTTTATGGACTGCACTGGTTAATGGATTGTTTTGTTTCTAAATACTTTAAATCTCTGATTGCTGGCTCAGGAGAATGTGTAGAAACCAACTCACTTGTGTAGATTCTTTACTGGGTTTTGTTCATCTGCTTGTTCAAACATTTGGCATAACGAGCTATTCAGTTTTACCAATAGAAAAACATATGTACAGCAAAGCACAAACGTTGATGTTTTATTAGTAGCTGGGTTTGAGTGAGAAGTTAGAGCAGCTGATCACTAGCAGTAAACAATAATTTGCTTTAAGAAACAAGAAATAACATGTAGACATGGATGTTGACAAAAATTAATGCTACAAGACAGAAAATGTTAATAGTAACACTCTTGAAGTGGCAGGGCCTCACTGCATTTCTCTTTTGGCACTCCTGCACTCTGAGAACCACAGTGGTGAGCTGCATGGGGTTTGTAGCTTACAAACACCTTGCAATGCCCTTCCCCAGGAAGCTCCTACCAGTGCAGATCTTAAGCAGGATAGAGGTGGTGATAGCAGAAGGGTGAAAACAAGAAATAACTTGCACAGCACCATGTTCCTGACCTGATGCCAGAAGGGATTATATTAGGAGTGGTGGCTTTTAAGCTCATGTAGCTTTGTAGACTTTGAGAACTGCTTCTAGAATTGCCACCACAAAGAAGTGTCTGTGTCCAAAAGCTTCACCTTGAGCCCAGTCCAGCAGCCAGGGTCAGCATCACAAACTTGTGGCCACACACTGGCATTTCTGAGTGCTCAGATTCAGTCAGAACAGGGATGTTACACATTCCCAAAATAGCTGCTGGTGTTGCCTTCTCTGTTGTTCCAGAAAGCTGTCCAGCATCTTCACATATCCTCTTCTCAGCATTCTTCCTGTGCATCATTACAACATCATCTGTGATCTCTCTAGTTTTCTCCTTCATGTGTATGCTCACCATCCCAAGAGGGTTGACTGGCATTACATTTGCCAATTGTTTTAAATATGGGAAACTGTAATTTCCCCAATGTTTTTTTTTTTTTTTTAGTGACAGGAGTAGTGTTTGAAATTTTTAATTTTGCACACATATACACTTTTCACTTATAGGTAACCCAGAGTTTACAGGGGAAAACTCAAAATTAAGCCAAAACTGATAGTTATGGGAGACAAAATTGATGAAAACACAAAATAAGTTTAGAGGACTTTTTTTTTCCTAAATTTTGTACACTTAAAATACAGGCCAGGAAGTATTGTGATAGTTATTTTCATTTTACTGAAATACTTGTTTCAAGTGATGTTTGCAAGAGCAATATCCAGCTCTAACGTGATATTGAAATAAGCCCAACAATTGTTTATTTATGTGGCTGTTGCTTTATTCCTGTGGGCAAACACCATTTAGATAATTGCTGCTGGCTGATGGGCTCTGTACCATTAGATATCCTGTCCTCCTCCAGCCAGGCAGATCCCAACCTCATGGCTTCTCATAGCTACATAAACTCCCTGCAGGTCATTCTCTCAGATACTGCACCTTAGTGCCCCCGCACTCAGTGAGAGGAATTTATCCCTCAGCTTTTATAGAAGTGTATTGTTTAATAGGGTTGCATTTAAATTTCTATAAAGGTTGTCAATCCAATGCTTATGACTCACAATGGAAAATTCCTCCCAGAGAGACTTTATTTAACCACTGACTTCTAGATTCAGAGAATGAGCAGTATACTGCAAAGAGAGGTAATAAACTTTCCTTTCTTTTAAATTAACCAGCAATCAGTTCTGGCTTCAGAAGTTTTATTACTTTTCATTAAAGGCAGTGGAGATTGTCTGTTATTGGAAAATGCAAAACAGAGTGAAAAAGCTTTTTGACAAGACCCATTACACATATTTTATCATGTATTTTCTATTCAAAGCAATTTCACTGCTGTAGACTAAACAGACTTAAATTAATATTTGACAGATTTGTTTGGAAGCCATTGTTCTTCAAAGGACCCCCAAATCATTATTAGTTTTAGAAAACTTCAGACAGAAGGATTTTGAATTCCTTCCATAGCAGTGATTTGGTTTATTATTACTTTTTAGATGGCAAGATACCTAAAAGACAAAGATGAACAGAAAAACTAAAGGGATTTTCTGGACTGAGTCCTGTCCTTTGGTGTTAAAAGCAACACTGTATAGAATCACTTTGTCTTGAGCTCCAGCTTTAAAGCACTAAAATCTTTTAGTTCCCACTTAATTCTGCTGGAGACACATTACAGACTGTCTTCAGAATTAGGAATCTGTACATTTCTCTAGAAATGTGTCTGTTATTAATTTATAAATACTTCTGGAATGAACATAATCTTTTATTTAAAATAATATATTTCCTCCCTGTTGCTCATGAAGTCTCTCACCACCTGAAAATGACTCTGTTGATTGTTAAGAAATTACATGTAGGAACAGAAATTATATCAAGTCAACAGAAATTACACCTATCCATTGGAAGTATATATATATATTTTATATATTTTCTTTGATCTTCTGTCATTTTGTTTTGCCATGGTGCCTCATCTCCTCTTTCCTATTTTCCCAGACATGCTATTTGTCCTCTGAACCTGTTCCAATCTAAATTCACTTCTAGAAAATGGACAGAGAGAATCATACACATTATTCCTGATAAGGTGCTTTAGGGCCTTGCACAATGGCACTAATGCATCCCTGGCTTTTGTGGGAATCTCTTACCAGAAGCCCCAGGGACCTGCATTCATCTTTCTAAGGCCACATTGCCAGGGCAACTCCCAGCCACTCCTGGATCTCCCCTGCAATCATTCTCAATCCAGACCCTTAAGCACTGCTGTTTTTACTACTCAGTTTCATCTCATTTCTACAAGTCATACTCAAAGCCACTGTGCTATTTCTGTCTAATATTCTGATCCTCCTCATATTTGAGCACAATAAATAATGGATAAAGACAACTCATACTGCAAAATTAAGAAGAATGCAGGCTATGGATTGCATCATATTTAAAATAAACCACACATGGTTATAGACTTTGGCAAATATCTTGTATATTCAAGAACAATATTGAGAATTGAGTGAGTTATTACTTCATTTCTTAAAAACCCAACAGTGTAAATATGAATTGATTTTTGTCTTCTCTTCTGAACATTTAGAGTTTGTGCATTTATTTTAGTCCATCTGCTTTATACCATTCCTTAGGCAAACACTGGATTACTTCAGTGTGAAGGAAGTCTCTGCATGACACAGGGCTGGGTAATGTTCTCTTTGCAGCCTTGACCTTGCCCATGGAGAGAGCCAGAGAAAGGAGAAGCATAGATTCAGTGCAGCAGTTGAATACACCTAAACCTGCTTTGGAGATTGGAACTATGACTGAGTTGTACATGAACAGAGATTCTGGGTTAGAGAACACCATAAAACTTAGAAGACCATTCATATTCCCACAGACTTATGTAACAACTGACAGTACCAGAGAACACAGTCTTAAGCTGCGCCAAGGGAAATATTGGCTGGATATTAGGAAGTTTTTTTACAAAAAGGGTGATAAAGTGTTGGAATGGCTTGCCTGGGGAGGTGGTGGAGTCACCATCCCAAGATGTATTTTAAAATAGACTGGATGTGGCACTTGGTGCTATGGTCTAGTTGAGGTGTTAGGGCTGGGTTGGACTCAGTGATCTTGAAGGTCTCTTCCAGCCTAGTGATCCTGTGATTCTGTGATTTATAACAATAAGCAACCTAGAAATGCAAGGTAATTTATTTCTTGTTACATGCTGGCAACCTAGATGACATTCAGAAGCAGGAGAACATAGTAGCTAAAGGCTGCCTCTTCTGCCACTAAATGTTTCTTATGTTTTCTTGTTCTGATCACTCTAGTAGAAATAAAACCTCCTATCAAAAATAACTGTCATATTGTGTCTTTATGGGAATAACCTTATATTGCCTATACATTAAGTACACATCAGCCTACTACAATGTGTGGGCAGAGTTAAAATAGCATAGAAATCTTAGGGAGCCTTATTCCACTTCAATTGAACAAATTGCTTTCCACCACAGTTAAAAATGGCTCAGGTTTTAGGAAGTTTAGTGAAAAATTAAACCCCCCCACCTTAAGCAAACACTGCAGGCTAAGCTTATGGAAAATTATCCTCATGTTAATCAGCTGTACATGCTGACAAACTTGTTCTTTTCTGGTTGCCTAGCTGTCTACCAACCTCCTCTGGCTCCCTGCCATGACCTCAGTGAAAGAGCTGCTATTGCAGCAGCAAGTATGTTCTCAGAAAGCCTTATTAGCTGTGCTGTAGGTTTCTAGTTATTGAACAGCAACTCGTTGTACTTTAATTATTGTGACAGTATATGAAATAAAAATGCTGGGTTTCATCTTTTAAATAGACACGAGAAAATTCAAGGTCAAGAAAGCTAACCTGACAAAACAGGTCAGCGTTACATGTTGTGCTGTTGCAGCAAACACTACAAAACCAAACCTACATTTCAGAATGGTAGGTCTAAAGTTGCCATATATATATATATATATATATATATTTATATATATTTATATATATTTATATATATAATTTAAACACATGTAATGATAGGCTTGAAGAACTATGATATCTACGAAAAAAAAAAAAGTTACACATCTTCCAAAATTTATTTGTCATAAAGTATAGAAACTGAACTAAATTTCACTACTTCACTCTGTAGCACATAGAATCAGTACTTATTAAAGGGTAAGTTTTAGGAGGAGGACTGCTGTGGATGTTCTCCAAATTTAACAGTTTCATCCCAGATCAGCCACTGGGTTCTCATATGTGCTTAAAAGACAGCTGGGCACCAAAACTATACAGGGCTTCAAGCAATGCTATGCTACACATATACCAGCATTTTAGTTATAACAAGTCAGGTAGGTATGTTCTTATTGGACAGCTACTCCTTCAGGTAGAGCTGGTGAGCATGAGCAAAGTAGATGTCCACATAAAGCACTGACATAATTTGTATATCCCATCCTAACATACCATAGGAAGAGACCTTAATTGAAAATAATAATAGAGTAGCCAGGAATGTACCAATTAAAATAACTTGTCTGTCTGTGCTAAATCTCAGATATTCCTAAGGTCTTAAGGAAATTAACCTGTCTTTACTCACTAGAATGCAATAGAAAACTTACTTAGTTCTCTCAGAGGTGAAGCAACTGCACAGACTACAGATCTTCTTACTGCTGGGTCATATGCACTAAGCATCATAACTGTTTGGAAAAAAGAAAAATTAAATTAATACTTTTCATCCATCTTCTCAAGCCAGTTTGAAGAATGTACAATTTTGTTTTGTTTATATATGTTAAAACTCCTACAGCATACATTTGTTAAGCTTTTAGATTTTTGAAGTATATTCTCTTTTGCCTATAAAAACAATATAATTCACCATACCAGTTGCTCTAGTTGGCCTGCAGCTTATATAAGTGACCTCCCCAAACACAAAAATCAGGCTGATCAAGATATGCATGTTCTCAATCTTGCTTTATGAGGTGGAGCCATACACCTGCAAGAACACTGATGCATAAAGACTGCTCTCTCTTTTCCCTCTCCCTCCCAAATATTTGCATCAACTGGCAAAACCCACACAGAAGCAAAACAGTTAAAGAAGTAGCAGAGACAGTATGATGCAACAGAGAAGCCCCAGGTAGGTACCCAAATCTGCCCTTTGACAGGGTCTCAGTCTTTGGCCTCCTGGAGAGCAGCAGAGCAGGACTGCCTGGACACAGCCGGCCCTGACACACCACAGGGCTGCAGAAGGATCTGCAGGTGTGAGCCCCAGCACAACCTCAGCGAACAACAAAGATGTGGTTCATGCCAATCCGTTAAGGTTGTTTTGTGCCAGATAGAGAATTAATTTTTTTTTTTTAAAAAAAGGAAAATAAATAAAACTATATAAAAGTTATTAAGTCATCCACCAAAAGGATCCAAGAAGCAATCGTTGCTGAGTTGCATTACATATTTGCCAGTTGCTCGTTGACCTGTTGGGAGCAAACTGTTGACCTCAAGGCAGATTTTAGAGGGCAAGTACGTACTTTGTTCTTAGCACTTACAGTAAAAAGGGTGCATTTTGAATGCACTTGCCTGTGCTTCCCTCCTGTCAGTAAAGAGGAGGCTTCCTGGTCAGAACCATGCTGATCAGGGTGGGAGGTCAGTCACGCTGCAAATAAGAACTGACGTTTCAAAGCCAGAGCAAGATTTTTGTTGTTAAGGAAATGTGCTCTAACAACAGATTTGCAGATCACACTAAGGAAAGAACATGTGGCTCTTTTGCTTTTTTTAACTGGGGAGGTTCTTGAGCTGCATGGTGGCTGACTAATGGCTGAAGGGGGATTTTATTACATTGAAGTCAAAAATTGTCAGGAAACTTACAGGAAGGAATAAATATTCCCTTTAATATCTGCAAATAAAACAAGATTAACTTATTTACTCCTCTCATGGTTATTCCTGAGTGTAAAATTCAAGAAGTCATACCCTTGCTGAGTTATAAACCAAGCAAAGAAAATAAAAAGATTGTTTCAAAAAACCCTATGCCATACAATTTTGAAGATGAGCTCTAATGCAAGGCTAGATGTTGCCTGGGCTGGGGAAAGAAAAATGTTTTCCTCTAATTTGCAGAGCAGCTACAGAACTGTTGCACAGTTGCTGCAGGCAATGATCAATAAGTAAGAGGAGAGAGAGGACACCTCAAATTCCAGTATGTTTTTAGTCCATCTTCCTCACAGTCTTGAAAAGGAGAGCAATACAGTCTGATGCCTCAGGCCACAAAGGAATTGCTGAGGAGCTCTTGAAAAGAGCTAGATATCCCCCATAACACAAAGGTACAATTCTATATCCAAAGCAAAACCAATCTTATCCTTTGTTGAGTAAACTAGAAGGGCACAAATTTCTTCAAGTAAGCAGTCTGATGTCAAAAATGAGGGCTAGAAAAGATACAAACAAATGACATATACAATGGGCACTACAGGAAGAGAAAAGTTCTAGCTGGCACCTAAGACAGGATTTGTGCAAGAAATGAAAGAACTTATTGTACCACAGCACTGGTTCTCAGGCTGCAGCGTGCTCACTCTTGCGGCAAGGACACTCTGCTGCCCACCAAGGGGGAGGCAGCTTCCTACTGACACATGGAATCTGCACAGGCTTTCCTGACCAATTAGAATAAAACTTAACTGTCCTCTCTGGCAACTTTTGTTGCTAAATTGTGTCGTTCTGTTATTGAAACCTACATCATACAAATTCAGTATAAAGCAAATAAAACATCATAGGTTTGATCCTCTTTCTTCTAGACTTCCTCACCTGAAACAGATAATGCAAAATTTCTGAGAAAGGAAATACAGTGATTGAATCTGAAATGAACCCTAATTTAATAGATGATTCAGTTACCTCTGGGAGTACCTCTCAGGGCTGTGATTCCTCAACTTCAAAGGCTCAGAACACAGAGAGCAGAAGGGAATGAGTCTATTATCAGTAAAATAATTAATATATTATTTGGCATCGATTCAGTAGCAGTGCAAACCCAATCCTCATCAATGGGGTGTCTGTTGAGAAAAACATGATTTACTCAAAAAAGAGAACTTGTGTCTTCACAGCTGCAAACCCACTTCCAATTACAAAGACAGTTCCCCCTTTTCAGCTACCACAAGCGGTTTTGCAGTGAGCAGAGTGGTGTTTTCCTCAGGCCCAGCCAAAAAGGGCATTGAGGGCAAGGCAGCTTGCTTCACTCTTGTTCATTCCCAGGCTGCCCTCCTGCGTGGTCACAGCAATCACAAACTCTCACTCCTGATCTCCCCCAGCCCTGCTCTTGTGGTGGCTGCAGCGAGGTTTGTGCTTGTCCCAGACTGCACCACTTGTCACTGCAAATAACATGAGATGGAAGAGATGGCAGGAATTTTTTTTTCCCCATGGAAAGCCATATTCTCTGTTCCCCTTGCTTGTTCTTTGATGCAATCAACTCTCTCTTCATTTTATGGAAAACAAGAAAACCAAACTGTGACAAGATCAAGACCTGGGAAATGCAGTAATGATGCGACCAACAAAATAATAAATCCTTGGATAACTTTTTTTTCACTTATATAGTTCAGTCATTAATAAAATCTTTAAGGTATGATTCATAGCACTAGAAAAATTAACTTTAGGTAGCAAGCTTTCCTCACATTCTTACTCCATCTTCAATTGTAGAATGCTACTTAGGAAATAGTGTGAATATTTCAACTGTGAAACTCAAAGTAGGAACTATTACAGTAGAGGTTCACATTTAAAGATAAAATTCAATTTTCTGTCAAAGGTAACTCTGACAAGGATAATAAAATCTATTTATTAAATAAATATTTATAATATAGATCTTTAAAATCAAGACACTTACTTATATTGATACACATTATGCAATTTCCAATGTATTTCAGCACCTTGGTGGTATCCTGAAATGGAAAAATATGAAAGAAGAGCAGCTTCCCAAGAAGCTCATAGACATCAGCAATGGGTAACACAATTTGAACCCAAAGGAGCACAGTGAGAAATTCAGAGGACAGCCTTCAATAAACAGCAATTGCCCTAAGTCAGCAAGAGCACTCCTACATCTTCAAAACAAAGACAGGTGACTCTACTTGGTGGCTTTCCTTGAGAGAACTTCGCTTCAAATTGGATGCTTTATGCAGAAACAGCAGGTTTTTGCTGAAATGACTGCAAATACTTATATCAAGGCAAAAAATCAATTTTCAGTGGATCCCATGGATGTATCGACAGACAGTGGTGTTTCCCCTTCCCTTCAGGACTCACTGTTTAGCCATTATATGAAAACAGAAACAGCTTTTGAATAATTAATGAAACTTAGGGACTGAAAATAGACCTCTTCTCTTCCCTTTCCTGCCTCTCCTTATTAAAAAAGCAAACAAAACAATAGAGCCTGAAGGTTAAAAGGCCCTTAAGAATATCTACTAGCCAGCTGGTCTGAAAAGAACAGTAAGAAGCAAAATGCATCACCTGTAACACCCAGGCAGTATGGCAAGATCAAGGAACAAATATCAAAAGTTTTTAGACAGAAAAAAAAAATCAAAGAATAGAAGTGATTAGAAGATGAGGACAATACCAGCATATACCCATTGAAGGTGTACTACATTTGTTATTTACTCCACCAGCAAGGGAGGCATGTAAATTTCCCCAAAATGGCTTCAGCTAGATAATAATTGTTTCATTCATGAAATAAAAAAACCCCAAACAAGCCAATCTCAAAAAAATAAAACCCACAAAATACTATCTATTGTAAAGTGCTTCCATGTGCTTTATCTTTTTACATACATTTGCAATGAAAGAAATGCTGCCAATATTTTATAGCTTAAGCATTTCCCAGTAAAATACACACATGCTTACACAGAAAGTGTGTACTTTACAGAAAGTATGTAACACTGAAGAACCCCGGATTGCTGAGAAGTATTTAGAAACACTTGGTTCCTACTGGTTTTCCTTTACAGTAAAACTCAATTCACTTCTGAGAGATCTGGAGATTGAGGAGTCTTGTATATGCCTACATTTCAAACTATTTTTATGGTGTGTAAATTCAGGATTTTCTTCCATATTCTCCCTTCCTTGCATTTTGGGACACAGCTACAAGCTCTTAAGTACAGGCAAAAGGGCCTGTACTGTAAGTAGAGCAGAAGGGGCTGCCATCTTTTGGAAGATACTAAAAGTCAGTTCAGCATCATATAAAGACTTGTGTTCCCAATTTTTTCTCCTGCCTTCCCTGGTTTGTTTCTCTTATACTTCAGTTCTTCTGTGCAATGTACAGTACAGTTACAGTGGGGGACCTTCCCCCTTTCACCTAGCACCTTCCACACAGACAAATAATTTATCAGAGGATGAGACACACTCTTCACCTAAAACCACAGAAAACTAGCAAGGTGCTCACTTTGATTATCTGTTTTTCACTTTTGCACGTCAGAAACGTGAACATTTCTTTTGTGCAGCTGAAAGCTGCACAAAATAAGCAGCAGGGCTTTGGGTCTTGTGGTTTTAAAATGTCTTCAGCTTTCATTGCAGCTGGTTGCTGTCACACGGAGAGAAGCAGGGGGGAGAGAAATCTGGCTGACAAAGGCTGTTGATTGTATACGTGATTTCTCCTCAGCAGCTGGCCCCTGGAGAGCTGAAACACCTACTATTCACCTCAGACTGCGCCAGGCAGCGTTTGCCCGTGGGTGGGTGACACCCCCGCCCGGCCTCCCCGCTGGCTGGCACAGCGACACGCCGGCTGGGCAACAAGCTTCCTTTCTTGAAAACGAGAAAAGACTTTTGGGTTACAAACTACACCGGGCTCCCCTGACAGCTGAAGGGCTTCCAGCACACGCTGGTTCCCGCACCCCCGCGGGCAGCCCGGGCACCACGCGCTCAGGCGATGTTGTCGGGGCCCCTTCGCGCTCCGGGCGATTCTCCCACGGACCCGAGCTCCCCACGGGCTGAGACCGGGCGGCACTGCCTCTCACGGCGGTTCCCACGGCTCCGGGACAGCGGCCACGTCCCTACGGCGGCGACCGCTCCTCCTTTTCGTCATTTTCTTGTCTTTCTTCTTCTCCGTGATCTGATCACCCCCGTTCTCCCCCTCTGCCCCCGCGGGCCGCCCATGCCCGGCACCGCCCGGCCCGGCAGGTACAGAGGGGGCGGGCACGGAAGGTGCCGCCCTCCCCTCCCCCCGCACGGCGCATGGTCGCGGCGGCCGCGCGCTCGCCGGGCTCCCCCTTGGCTGCCGCGCGCCGTGGTCTCGCCCACCCCCGCTGCCATGTTGAATCGCGCGGCCGCCGGGGCCGGGCCGGAGTTGGAAGTTTAGGGGCGGGAGCGATCGGGATCGGCCCCGGCGCGGAGCGGCTCCGGCGCGGCTGCACGGCTGCCCGGCACCCCCTTTCCCGGCTGCCCCCCTCCCAGGCACCCTGCCCGCCGCCCCTCTTTTCTTCCCTCCTTCCCCGGCCCCGCGAAGAGGCTCAGCGATGCGGCTGCTGTGAGGCCCCGGCGGCGGCGGCGGAGGAGGAAGGGGAGGAAGGGGCCGCGGGCGCCATCGGTCGCAGGGCGGCGAGGGCAGCGCCGGGCCGGCCCCGGCCATGAGCGGCGCCCCGCAGCAGCAGCCCCCGCGGCGGGTCACCAACGTGGGCTCGCTGCTGCTCACCCCGCAGGAGAATGAGAGCCTCTTCGGCTTCCTCGGCAAAAAATGCGTGGTAAGTCCCGACCGAGGGGGCGAGGGGACTGGGGCACCCCCAGCCGCCCCTCCAGGGCGCGGCGGGTCGGGGCCCGGGGCGGGCGGGGGCGTGTGAGGACAGCCCGGCCGGGCTCTGGGAAGTTGAGGCTGCGGAAGTTTCATCCTGCTCCGCTGCCCCGTCCCGGCGTCGGGCGGGGGACGGCCCTCGCAGGCCTCGCTGCCCGCCCGGCTCGCCCGCAGCGCAGGGCGGGGAGCGATGAACGGCGGCGGCAGCGGCCCCTCGGCCCGCCCGGTCCGGCGGGGCTGCCAGCCCTGAGCGCCGGGCCCGGCCTCGCTCCCTTCGGAACCGGGCGCGCCGGGCGGCTCCGAGAGCGCCGCGGGCACCGGTGTGGGCGCCGTCCTTCCGCGCCTCGCTGCCCGTCGGCATACGGAGTTCCCGGGGCCGGCGGGGCTCCCGCTGCCCTGCCGCCGACCCGGGCGCTGCAGCTGAAGCCGCCGCAAAGCAGCAGCCGCGGGGCTCCGGGGCCGTAAAAGTTCCATTGCTCGGCGGGGCTGGGACGGACCCCAGGTGCATCACCGGTACAACAAAGCAATGTTGCACCAAGTTGTAGGAAGGCTCGTATCAGTGCTAGGCCTGCCTTGGGTTTAGTCTGCACTTTTCTTAGCGTAAACAAGAAGTTCGTGTACTCAAATACTGCATATTTTCCTATTTCTGTATCAGTAAGTTTGGTTTCAGAATACCTTCTTACATGTAACGTAAAACTGTACTAAAACTACTTATCTATATTAAAGAACTATTTGAAAGCTTCAAAAGATAAACGCTTTCACTGGAAAAGAAGCTGCTTTTTTTAAAACAGTGATTTTCAAAACAGTGACTATTCTGTTGCGTTGTGTCCCGAACTTAAAATACTATTAGGAACTTGCTGTAAAGCTATGGAGAGTGTTTCATGAACTTAAAACTGTGACTTAAAGCAGGATATCCGTGTAGTCATATTGATTCCACATAACTCTCTGGACTTTGAAATGGTATGGTTGATCAAACTGCTGAGAGGAAAACATAAGATGCAAGGGAACAGGAAGTAGAGAATATTTACATTGGGGTGGGTTAGATAAGATGCTTTCACAGTAACTTTCAGTGTGTCAGAAGGTATGACCCCTAAAGTGTATGTTTTGAAAAGTATAGAATGGTAGAAATGTCCTAGTTAATTTCAGGGAACGTTTCATATCTTCTACTTCTTTGCTAAGAAAGAAAATAAACAGTATAACTTTTTCTTTAAATATAAAAAAGTAGTGCATGAATTTGTGTGTAAATTGATTTTCAGTTTCCTTTTCTGTAAGTTGATTTTTTTTCTTGTCAGATGAACTCACTTTTAATTTCTGTTATACTCAGCTGTAAAACTCACCTAGTTAAGCTCCCAAATTTTCTGCATAAGTAATATGTTGAAAGCAGACTGGAGGTAAATATCTTCACAGGATCTGGGTGTGATGGGATTTACAGCTTGCTTGAAATTACATATTCTTCTGATTTACAGACAATATTGGATGCCTTTCCAGTTGAGGTTCTTAAAATTGTGGTCTGTTGTTTCCTCTTTTCCCAGCCCTTTGTGCTCTCTAAGTTAATCATAGGCTTATTTTAGTAAAGTTGAGGTTCTCTGCTCAGTCTTGAGATCTTAAGCATTGAAGATCTAGAGGTATTTAACCAGGCTTTTTTGGCTTACTGTGTGGCATGAGCCAGAAATTGAGAAACAAGCGCACAGATGGAATATTCTGCCCCTTGGAGGGCACTGCCTTAAGCAGGGCAGTGGAATGGGTACCTGGAGATGGTAACACCCTCAGCTGTCTGACTTGAAACCACAGTGTCTGTTGGGGTGCAGCAGGACTCTTGGTACTCTTGACCTTCTGGCTTCACTCAGCATGCTGTGCTGATAAATGCCTTTTTGTTTGTGATATTTGATCTCGTAATATCCATGTTTGAATTACTCAGTAGTGAAGTTTCTGACTGTAAGTGCTGCTTTTTAAGAAAGGAAAATTTTGTGGGTTATGTAAGATGCTAAATGCTTGCTCTTGCAATCACCTGAAATATCTGGGCTGCCTTGCTGCTGTAGGTGGTGTTTCTGTCACTGGGGCATGTTGGATGTGTCAGCCACATTGACATAATTTTAGATTTTGTTTGACTAAATCTCGTGTTTAGATCACTACTGCAGCGAGCACCAGAAGAAAGTTGAGACATTAAACCATGCTCCTAAGATACTCTTTGCAGTAATAATTTATAGAATTCTTAATGGATGCCATAACACTGCTATCAGGCCTGAAGGGCTTAGTTAAGAAAGCATGTGGTGCTCTGAAATTTATTTCAATCTTTCCTTTATTTCTGACTGGTAACAAGGCAGCAATTTTGAAATAACATTGAGGATCCAATTATCTGATTTTTGTTCTATGGGAAAGCAAAGGAATATATCAAAGTGTATAACTTTGAGTACTCACAGTCTGTGAACTCAGAAATGGACACAGTTCCAGTGGCCTCTTAAGTAATGATCCCTGCTAGAAAAATTTCCTGTGAGAGGGGGAAATGCTGAAGAGCCATCGCTCTGTGTTGCTGAGGTTGATACCATTCTGCACACTACTACTGGTCCTTTGAGAAGCTCACTAATAGGCAAGTGTACATACAGAGGGTAATTGGTTTTCTTCTCTACTCTTTTTTCCTCTGTACTTGCTGAGCTGTAAAATGTTTATCTGAATCTACAAGCAATTAAAATACCTTTGCCCATGACAGATGAGGCTTTCAAAACCAAGCCACTGGCTGATAGTTAAAGCTGTAGCTATAGTTGATTTGGCTGAAATATGAATCCAGATGTAGAATTATTTACAGAATATATCCAGCATAAAGCCCTTTAGGACTCCCATTGTTTAGGCATATAACTAATTTTCATTCAGGTTTGTCATCTTTGTTATCTAGGTCAGGTGTAAAATTTGCTCTCTTTAAAAAGTTTTGAATAACTTTCTAATAATAATGGGGAAATAAAATTGTATGTACACTTATACTAAGTGAAGCTATGAGATTAGTATTGTGCATATTAATGATTTTTGTGGTTATGCCCAGCTTAAAAGTTTTTGCATAACTTCTGGTTAGTTATAAATCATTATTTTAAATAATGATGAGTTTTGTAAGAAAAAGTAAATGCTAGATGTCCATTTTATAATCTGTAATAAAGAAGTAACTTCTATAATTTGCATGATTAATATTGGTCAGCGATGTCAGTAATGAAAAACTAGTTTACTCTGTAGAAATAATTTTTGAGAAACCATGAGAAGTATGTACTTGGTAGCACTAGAAGTTGGTAGAATGGAGTATGGATATTTTGTGCTGCTTAGAAGTGCTACTCAACACTTGGATAAGATGCAATGAATAAGGCTGGGAATATGTTGTTCTTTGTGAGATGTCGCCTGTGGTTCATGTGGTAAACAGGAACTGGTGAAGGATGCAGAAAGAGAAGTGACACAGCAGTAAGCTAACTAAGAAAACTGTTTTGGCTGCTTTTAAAAGTGCACGTGACCAGAATAAGTTTGTATATCAGAGCCAAAGAACAAATTGCAGTAATAGCTGAGATAAAGCAAAATAAAAACTTGAATGGCAGTTATAGCTCTTAATTGATAAGAATTAAATGTTTTATCAGGAAGGGCCTTGTAAGATTACTTGTGCTTATGAAAACAGCATGAACTAGGGCTTGAAGGTAGACTACAAGTCTGAGTAATGGGCACTTTCACGTGTCTGACAAGTGTTGGGACTCCTCAGTTTGAGTTTAGCTGCAGTCTGTACATCCAAAAAAGACTGACATTATAGTTTAAAAAATACTTCTCCCCTGTACAAGTAGGGAGAACTGACACATTAATTCAGTGGTGAATCTCTCATCTTTTCATTTGTTTCTAAATGAGATGTGGAGGGAAAAGATAAAGTGTTGAGGATGGGGTCTTGTGGAACAGGACAGTATTGAGAATTACACCTGGATTTCTTTTGAGACTTGCCCTGTTCTACAAAAGACATATAGCATCTTTAGACACCTCACTTGTATCCACTAGAGTGAGTTCTCTGAACAACTTATCAGTGATAATCTTCCATTGTAGAGAAAATGACAGTGGGGTCTTGACAGTTCATTTGAACCATACCTGTGCCTACAAAACTGATTTTCACAGCAGTGGATCATATCAGACTCCACAGAACAAGAGGTACAACCATTGTCCTTACAATAGGATGTTTCTCATGCTCACAGCTTTCTATTAATGTCTTTACAGCATAGTTCACTGCCTTGGCTTGCTTACCCATGGATGAGAAATGTTTTGAGACTGCTTGGGAACAGTCTAGAAGGCACTGCATCTCATAGCTGTATGTATTTGAGACAAAGCATCAATTCACAAAGTGTGGGCTATGGTTAAGGAGAAAAAGGCAGAAATTTAGGTCTTAAAATCCCATAATTGTCAATAAAGCTCACTGTCAGTTA